TTATTTTTCTATTTTTGAATTCCTCAATATAAAGAGACAAAATATACGCGGACAGATAGATTTAAATATCGTTAAAATATCTTTCATCTCGTAAGAATAATGTTGATTTAACATTAAAACCATGTTAATACGATATTAGCATTATTCTCGAGAGTTCCTTTCATTTATGATTGTTTAATCTAAAGGGTTAACTGTTATAGAAGATAATATTGCATTCAATCGATTTGCTTCTTTTTTTTTTTTTATTTGTTAAAATAACGAAATCACCGTCAAGTTTGTTTCTTTATTATTAAATCGTTGAAAAAATAAAATCGAGAAATTCTTAAACGTGTTCGAACATTTTCCGGTGATTGTTATACCGAAAAAAAAAATATATATATATACAAGGTGTCCCACATAAGTTAAAAAATATTTCCCATATATATATATATATATATCCCATATAGGTTAGAAGAGAATGTAATTTAATTTAAGATAAAAATCATTGAAATCCACTTGTTATAAGTATAAAAAATATTTGCTGAAACTTTTCAAAGAAATATCAGAGAATACCATGCTGTAAATTGTACAACTTTGCAAATTTTTTGAAAAGTTTGGGTAAATATATTTTATACTTAGGACAAATAGATTTTAATGATTTTTATATTAAATTAAAGTACATTCTTTTGTCTACGCGTAGAATGCTTTGTCGAGTTATAAATTGATCTGCAGAGGTTCATAAAATGTCAGAGAATGCAATGCTGTAAATTGTACAACTTTGCCATTTCTTTGAAAAGTTTCGGCAAATATTTTTTATACTAAAAGTGCATAAATTTTCATGAATCTTATATTAAATTAAAGTACATTCTTTTGTCTAAACGTAGGATACATTTTCGAGTAATAAATCAATCTGCAAAGGTTCATAAAATGTCAGATAATGCTATGCTGTAAATTGTACAATTTCGCCATTTCTTTGAAAAGTTTCGGCAAATATTATTTATATTTAGACCATGCGAATTTTAATAAAACTTATATTAAATTAAAGTACATTCTTTTATCTACACGTGGAATACCTTTTCGAGTAATAAATTAATCTGCAAAGGTTGATAAAATGTCAGATAATGCACTGCTGTAAGTTGTGTATCTTTGCAATTTCTATGAAAAGTTTCGGCAAATATTTTTTATATTTAGACCATGCGAATTTTAATAAAACTTATACTAAATTAAAGTACATTCTTTTATCTACGCGTAGAGTACCTTTTTGAGTTATAAATCGATTTGCAAAAGTTCATAAAATGTCAAAGAATGAGATGCTGCATTTTTTTCCTACTTTGCCATTTCTTTAAAAAGTTTCGGCAAATATTTTGCATACTTAGACCATGCGAATTTTAATAATTTTTATATTAAATTAAAGTACACTCTTTTATCTATACATAGAATACAAATTTGAGTTATAAATCAATCTGCAAAGGTTCAAAAAATGGCCAAGGAAAGTTTGCGGATCAGGCATTGTTCACATTGCCTAAGGCCAGGCATTGTTAGCATTGCCGGGGGAGGTTTGGAACCTAGGCCGGTAATGTTAACAATGCCTGGTTTTAGGCATTGTTCACATTGCCTAATCCGCCAACTTTTCTTCGCAATTTTTGGAACCTTTGCAGATTTATTTATAACACAAATTTATATTCTACGTATAGAGAAAAGAGTGCACTTTAATTTAATATAAAAATCATTAAAATTTGCATTATCTAAGTATAAATAATATTCGCCAAAAGTTTTCAAAGAAATGGCAAAGTAGGAAAAATTTGCAGCATCGCATTCTTTGCCATTTTATGAACCTTTATAGACTAATTTATAACTCGAAAAGGTATTCTACGCGTAGATAAAAGAATGTACTTTAATTTAATATAAGTTTTATTAAAATTCGCATGGT